AATTAAAAAAGGCTGTGGTATTAACACCCACCCCTTTTCTTAACATATATATATTATATAATTTATATATTTAAACTTTTAATCTAAGTAATCTCACAACTTTAATAAACAGTAAAAAAATTAGAGACTTGGACTCATGCGGTGAATGTGCTCTCACTTATTGGACAGTGGAATGTCCCTATAATCTGTAGAATCAATTAATTGGTAAATTATTTTTGTAATACAAGATGCTTCGGTTCAGCGATATAGAGGTGTCCTCAAGTGTGGTGTTGTTTTTAAGAATGAACAGAGTGAGATTTTGTGTGGTGGATGCAAGACTTTTAAGGAGGAACTTCTCCATTTTAGAGGGTGAGTTACGGGTTTTATCGTTCGGAGTACGTTTAGCGGTAGACGTGGGGTTTCGAAGGATGATTTAGGAGAGGACTGATAGATTATTTAGTTTAATAAATTTTATAATATATTAATTAAAAAATTATTATTTTTAAATTTAAATTTAAAATTAAAAAAATTTGAACTATGAATTTTAATAAATAAACTAATAGAAATTAGTGAATATATTGTACCGAGGGATATATTGATCATTTTACTTTTAGAGAATGATTACTTAAAGGCGGTGAAGGAAATTAGCAAAGGAGAGGACTATCGCATTATTTATTATGGCGCAGTAGTAGCCGAGTTGCGTGTATTGCAGAGAAGTTTGATAGTTGCTGTATCAACCATGTAAGGGGGGAAGCAAATGTAGATGCCCACAATGTTGCTCGTCCTGCAACTAGTATAGAGAGTGAGAGGATTTGGATAGGGGTTTTCTCCTAATCCTGAGTAATTTTTCTAGAATTGAATTGATTTCTTTTTGCATTTAAAAAAAATCACTATCTATTACTTTGTTTCCAAATTAATTTCGTTTTCTAGAAGAAATGATTAAAATGAAAGATAATTGATGTATATTTAGTTTAACACATTTTTTTATACTTTTTTTTATTTAATTATTCAAATATAATATAAATACAGTCAGTTTTTATATTTTATAAATATAATTGTATTTTTAAATTTATTTATTTTTAATTTTATATTAAAAATAATAATTTTTTAATAAATGTATTGAATCAAAATATGTAGTAATCATTGTCTTGTTCGAATAGTTCCTCTATGCAAGAAGACTCTTTTCTTTCATCTAAATGCTAGTAATCCAATCCAAAAGAAAGAACTAAATGCTAGTAAAATCTCTCACTGATTCATTTGTTTTTCAACAATGCTCAGTCACCAATTCCTTTCCTTTCTCTCTTAAAGTATCCAAATCTTTTGGTGCTACTGGATCGGTGCCCAAAATGACCCCTTGCCTTTTCACATAGACCCATTTATCTTGCAACAAGTAGAAGAAAACAATGAAAGAGATCTCTATAGTGAATAGGATGGTCCAAGGCTTTATCCTTCTTGATGTCTTTTCATGGTATGCTTGCAGTCCGGTATATACATTGATAACACCTAGAAGAGCCACAGAAATTCCAAGCAACCAGTGTGCAAAAAACCATACACTTCTTCCTTTAGAGCCCCTGCAGAGAAGAGTATCATCATTGGATATACTAAGGAATTCATGTTTTACTGTCTGAATTATACATTAAAAACATGGTTCCTGCTTTATGAATTTACTAAAACTAATACATTTAATGAAATAACATGAAAATAGTTTCAATAAGGGCATTTCAATAAATTTATAAGGTAAATTGTATTTTTAATTTACAGTGTATCTTGGAAAACATTATTTCCATATACTAAAATCATTAGAAACCCCTAACTCTACTTATATTCTCCTCCTGCACACCTAAACATTTAATCCTAGATGCTGACGGGAACATAGAACGAGAAGGTTGTTTTTCAATCTGGATGGACTCAAAATGACGCAGATAACCTTAAATATTTATACCCTTGGTTTTGAGTGTAATGATGAACAGGCATTTTCATCAATTTTAGTCCAGACTGGCATTATTTTTTTATATGGACTTATATATAAAAGCTTTTCTGATTTGAAAATATGGCCGTTAAGACTTTCTTTAATGGTTGGCATTTACAAATTTCTTTAATGGAATACCTTTGTGGCCGTAGAAAACCGAGCAAGGCTTGCAACCATATTACACTATATAACACCAATCCAAGTCTTTGATGATGATTGTTGAAGGAGTTGTCGAAGTTTTTTATGGACATTGCTGCTCCCACCGTGGCAAGAAGTGTGGAAAGTATCTGCTGAATGCAAATTACTTATTCAATACATAGAAGATATTTGTGACACTCAAAATTTCACATCAAAAGGAAAGATGTAAACCACTATTAATAACTTTTAACTATAGTTTTTGAGCGCCATGCTCAAAAGGGTTCTAGTCATAGAATAGTTTAATGCAACACCATAGAAAGCTCTGAACTGCTAACAAATTTTTTTTGTTTTGTTTATATATAATGTCCAACTTGAAAGCATATATAAATGATCCTCAAGAAACCAAGGGGTACGTAAAAAAAAAAAAAAATTCAAAGAAGTAAATATCTTTCTTTTTATCTCTTTCCAACTTGAAGGCATCTCTAAATGGTTCTCAAGAAACTGTGGGCT